TGCCTCAGGCCCTGCAATCTCCTAGACCAGCCGTGGCCAACCCACGGCTCGCAAACCACATGTGGCTCTTCCCCTCCCCCCCCTCCGGGGGGGGCTTTTTAAACCCCCCCCCCCCCCCTCGTCCATGGCTCATACAGCCACCCCCCACCTCCAAAAATGGCCCTCTCCTCCCAGCTCCCTGTGCTGACCTGGGCAGGGGAGCCATCCAGCTCGGCCATTAAAGATGGAGAATTAAAGATGGCGACAGCTGGCAGGAGCCTGATGTGGCCAAAAAGGCTCTAAATGCATTTTCTTAAAGGGGCAGACCATTTCTTTTCTCAGCACCTTTGCCCTGGCTCTTTGTGCTGGATCCACTGATATCTTAACTCTTTGCCCAGAATGGGCTGGCCACCCCTGTCCTAGACAGAGCCATGATGGCTGGTCATATTTCTGATCATCTCATGATCAGAGCATTCTCATTTCTAACATTAAATATTATGTTTCATTACAGCTTAGAAGCAGAACTCTGCTTCCATGGTATAACAGGAATATGTTTACTTAGGCCAATGGATTTCCATTAATCTAGTTTATGGCAGGCAAAATTAGACTCTGACATCTGTTATGTATACACTTTATAAAATCATGACATATGCATTCAAACATGCCATACACAGATGACAAAAGCCACTACAAAAAAAATGAGTCTAAAGGGATAGGATTTTGACTTTCCTTTAAAATGCTCCCAAAATTTCAAAGCTTTCTCTAGAAAGAAAATAGAGAAAACCAAAATGTATTGTTAAATTATTTATAATTCCAGGGTGTGTAGATCTTTAAAAAGCAGAATTTAAAGTGAGCGATACAAGCTATTTTCAACATAGATAATTGCTGCTTTTCAGAAAGGATCTGGGGGACTTAGGAGAAAATAAAAATGGCATTTTCCCACATGCCCCTAATGAGATGAATAAAACACTCTACAATTCATCAGTGTTCATCTAAGCCCTATTACATATTCAGCCTTAAATTCAGGTCCACCTGGGACACAGATCTGGATAGTCTACTGGAAAATAAGGAATATGAATAAAAACAATTCAATAATGTGAGACATTATTTGTATTACAAAAGCAGACTTTGACTCCCTCACAGACCTGAGGGTCAGGATCCCCTGGGAAGCTAATATGAGGGGGAAAGGAATCCAGGAGAGGTGGCTGTATTTTAAAGAAGCTTTATTGAGGGTGCAGGAACAAACCATCCCGATGTTCAGCAAGAACAACAAATGTGGCAGATCTGCACATTCTTTGATGAGCTTAAACACAAAAAGGAAGCTTAAAAGAAGTGGAAACTTGGAGAGATAACTAGGGAGGAATATTAAAACATTACTTGAGCATGAAAAAGTATAATTAAGAAGGCAAAAGCACAACTGGTGTTGCAGCTAGCAATAGAGGTGAAGTTCTACAGGAATGTTAGCAACAAGAAGGTAACGAGAGACTGTGTGAGGCCCTGGGGAAGGCAACCTGGGGAAGATAACTAGGGAGGAATATTAAAACATTACTTGAGCATGAAAAAGTATAATTAAGAAGGCAAAAGCACAACTGGTGTTGCAGCTAGCAATAGAGGTGAAGTTCTACAGGAATGTTAGCAACAAGAAGGTAACGAGAGACTGTGTGAGGCCCTGGGCAAGGCAACCTGGGGAAGGCAACCTAGTGAAAGATGATGTGGAAAAGCTGAAGTGCGTAGTGCTTTTTTTCTCATTCTTCAGAGGTAATGTCAATACTCAGATTGCTACACTAGGCAGAAAAATATGGAGAGGAGATGAGCAGGCCTCAGTCATGAAAGAACAGATTTAGCACTATTCAGAAAAGTGGGAAGTGCACAAGGTCCTGGGCTCAGATCTAACATGTCTGAGGTTGCTGAGAGAATTGGCTGATGTGATATTAGAGCCATTGGCCATTATATTTTAAAACTCTTGGTGACTGGGGGAGTCCTGGACAACTAGAAAAAGTCAAATGTAATGCCCATCTTTTAAAAAGAGAAAGAGGAGGATCCAGGAAACTATATAGACCAAGCAGCCTCACCTCAGTCCCTGGAAAAATCATGGAGCAGGTCCTCAAGGAATCCATTTTGAAACACCTGGAGGAGAGAAAACTGATCAGGAACAGTCAGCATGGATTCACCAAAGGAAAGTCAGGCCTGGCCAACCTGAACAGTCAGCATGGATTCACCAAGGGAAAGTCAGGCCTGACCAACCTAATTGCCAGCAGATCGAGGGAAGTGATTTTTCCCCTTTATTTGGCACTGGGGAGGCCACATCTGGAATACTGTGTCCAGTTTTGGGCCCCCCCGCTACAGAAAAGATGAGGCCAATTGGAGTGAGTCTAGCAGAAGGCAACAAAAATGATTAGGGGGCTGGGACACATGGTTTATGGGGAGAGGCTGAAGGAACTGCATTTATTTAATCTTCAGAAGAGAAGAATGAGGTGGGGGGTTGATAGCAGCTTTAAACTACCTGAAGCGGGGTTCCAAAGAGGATGGAGCCAGGCTATTCTGAGTGGTGGCAGATGACAGAAAAAGAAGTAATGTTCTCAAGTTGCAGTGGGGGAGGTCTATTTTGAGTATTGGGGAAAACTTCTTCACTAAGAAGATGGTGATTCACTGGAATGGGTTGCTTAAGGAGGTGATGGATAGGTAGACAAAATCCTCACAAACAACATATGTGGGGAAAGCAGCAGACCAGTATGCATATACAAATAATTAAATACAAATTAGAACTGACTGGAAAATGTTTTGTTCCCAATCCAAATGCTGCTGAAAATGGAAGGGTTTTTGCTAGGTACGTTTTTCCTCAAATGTTTTCAGGCACCCCAAACCCAAAATTGTTCATGTTTATGAAAGTTTTTATCTTCATTTGTGAAAGATGACCCCACACAAAAATAACAACAACACACACGCAGAGGGTGCATCTACACTGCACCGTTATTTTGAGATTACTAGCGTGATTTCAAAGTAACAGCTGTTCCGTTATTTCAAAATAATTTCAGAATAATAGATATCTTATTCCAAAATCTGTAAACCTCATTCTACGAGGAATAATGCCTAATCCGAAATAGCTATGTTGAAATAAGGCATGTGTAGACGCTCCACTACTGCTATTTTGAAATAGCCTTTCACCAGCGCCATTCTAAGTTATTCCTCTCCAGTGCCTCCTGGGACTCTAAATCAAATTAGCATGTCTACATTATGGAAGACTGCCTTGGACTAATTTTGAGGCTTCCCTGCAGTGTAGACATTCTATTTCGAAATAAGCTATTTTGGAATCAACTTCGAATGCTGACATTAGCCACCCTAGTTCGAACTAGGGTGGCAGTGTAGACATACCCTTATTCTGAAATAAGCATGCAGTGTAGATGTACTCTGAGCCTTATTTCAAAATAAGCATGCAGTGTTGATGTACTCTGAGCTGAAAACTGATTTTCCCCCAGGAAGTTTCCATTTTGGCAAAAAACAAAAAACAAAACAAAAACACTTCATCATCCAAAGAAAAACATGAAAAAGTTGAACTTTAACACTAGTATGCTGTTTCATATTTTACCAATATCAGTCACCTCTGTATGTTAAAGCCTAATCTAGCCTGCCCAACTTGTCATATGCTCTATGGCAGAAGTGGTCCTTGAGAGGGGGTTTGAGGGAGGAGAGTGTAGTGATCTTGTGGATCAGTTCTTGGAGGGCGTTTCAGGTATAACTGATGGATGTAATTTTTCCAATTATGTATTCTGACTGTTCTTATGTTTTATAATGCATTATTGAGAATATATAACACCTGCAAACGCTTACCTTATCACATAGCCCACATCCTAAACTGTACCACTTCCATACTAAAGAATGGATTAATAAAACAGCAGCAAAAACCCAATACAAACAGAGGATCTCCAAGAGCCATGCAAAAGGAAAGCTAGTCTTAAATGCTAGCTCTTCACTTTGGAAACTCAGTTCTTTATCTTGTCACTGATCAGATTCAAGTACTTCATAGTTACAGCTTAAAAGCCCAAAATGGATTAGTTTATCATAACATAACATCATGACATTAGTACCTGGGTTCATGCCAAAGGGCTATAAGCTTTGTGCTCTTTGAAGTAACTGAAGGAAGCTTTTATTTTTAAATTTCTACCTACTCACTGCAATACATCACACAATCAGTTTTAATATATTTAGGGTTAAGTGCACTCTTGTAATTTAGAATTAAATGATTTTTATTAAGCACTTTTACTGAATATCTACATGGTCTACAACTCCACTGATTAAGAAACATAGTGACTGGTAAAACAGTAACCCCCATGAATTAGGGAAGCACTGAAGAAATGCAGTTGGTCTATAGCTTAGTGTACATGCAGTATTTGAAAAGCAGTCTGAATTTCTGTTAAAAAAAAAAGACAAATGATATGAAAACTGATGCCTACTTTACATTGCACTGCCTTTCAACAGGTCAAAGGCACCTCCCTAGACACAGGGGAAGTCCAATTAAAATCCAGAACGGATGAGACTCATAAGCAAAAGATACAATTGTTCTCTGGTACTGAAACTTCAAATGAAAAAAATCCAGCTAGAAAGTTTCAAGTACAGAATTAGAAGCAGCATATCATTAGTGCCCTGCATTTTGCAGGGAGGCATGTGGAGGGAAAAAATCTAATGAGAAAGAAGTGATCCTGTAAGCTGACCGTGGGACCAGAAATGAGGAACTCCCAACTTCTAGTCTGAGCACTGATCTTCTTTGTGGTCTTGGATTACTTCCTTGTACCTGCAGGTATCATTAACTTCAATAGCATATAGAATGAACCGGCCCTCTGAAAATCAGGCTACTAAACTCATTACTGCAGTTTTCCCATTTATAAAACGAGGACAATACTTACTTCCTAATTTACCTCACAGAGCTGTTATGAAGATTAATTAGATAATGACACCAAAGTGCTTTGAACATGAAAAGTGCTAAGAATTGTTAGATTGAAACTATTCTTTATTGCTGTCACAAATAATAAAAAAGAGCAGGGCAAGGAAAGAAGATGTGGGAAATAAAGGGCAATAATGGCTGCTTTTATTTGCGCATAGGGTAGTGAATAATCTTTGCAAGAAGAAGCCAATCTTGTGAAAAAGCTATCTTCAGTAATGGTGCTAAGGTTATTGACAGGTCTGGCTATAAGTGCAGGTTCCATTAGATACATCAGCCTCAATGTATTCCCGACAGATCTCACTGATGATTGCCCTCCTGCAGAGGTAGAAATAAGACAAACTATGATTGAAGGAAAAATGTAAACAGTTAAAAGAGAAATAGAAGTTAACCATCATTCTCTCACCAGGGCAAAGAATAAGGATTGTCGCACCTGTGAAGCAATAATAATGTCAAATGTTGCAGTAGATGTGTGATTGTAGTGCAAATACCGTTTAGAGCTAGAGTTGAAGGATTTATATTGTTTAGTATTTTTCATATGTATATTCAGTGAAGTGCACTTCCTTAGTCTGGGCCAGCGCACAATACACGCAGACAAAAAGAGTTTCACATGAGCTCTGTGGCAATTTAAGTTAGTTTGTGCTTTCTGCAGGTCCCTAGTAAAAGTTGTGGAACAAGTGTTTACCCTCTTTATTTCAAGGTTGTGATATGAAGTGTGTGAGCTGCAATTTCCTAATTTAGTTTATGCTGTGCCCATCACTGTAACAAAATGTATTATATAATACAGTTTAATAGATTTCTATTTTGTATTAGAAAAGCTAAATGATGTATTCAGAAATGTCAGCCATACTTAAATATTTTCTATTCCATGGTAAGCAGGAAGAATATTAAGCATTAATCCCTTAAGGTACATAATTTTTAAAGCTACAGGACCACATAATGTGTAACCAAGAGTTTCAAAAGAATTAGCCAAAGAGCTTTTTTGGACTACTGTAACTGAAACTCTGGAAGTTCTAAAAAACAGGGAAAATAAAATAATTGTGTGCCATATTTTAAACAGATAAATGAGATGACCCAAGAATTATAGCCTGGCATCAATCCTGGACAAAGCCACAGAAAGTCTGATATGGCATGGAGAGATTTACAGTATGGAAAGATAATTAATTGCAATTAACAGGGTTTTATGGAAAATAAGTCTTGTCAAGCAAATCTGATTTCATTTTTTATTACAATAGAAGTTTGATTAATAAAAGTAACTGTGTAGATATAATATACTTAGAGTTTTAGAATATACTTGACTTAGTACCACACCATGCTGATTTAAAAATTAGCATTATATATATATTTAAAAATTGATGCAATACATTTTAATTGTATTAGCAATGACTAATATATTTAAAAAATAATTGTAACAACAGGGAATCATCATCAAATGGGGGTATTATTATTGGATTTCAGAAGGATCTGTTATTGGTCTAGTGTTACTAGATAACTTTATCAGAGCTCTAGAATATAACATTATTGGTGATAAAGTTTCCAAATGTTACACAAATTATTGAACCAAATTCCACTGGGGTAAGTGGGCAACAAGGACCCATATTTAGGATAGCTTTCTTTGAAAAACCTAGTACTTAAAACCAACCTGAGGTGAACGTTAACTGAAATGGTACTCCCCTAAACAAAAATGCTCAATGTTAGGCTCATAACATTTACCCCACATTATAATCTAACGAACACTCATCAGCCTCAGTGTGAGCAGAATGGGCCCATTTTTTAAAAAAAATCAGTGTGAGCAGAATGGGCCCATTTTTTTTTTTTAAATTAGAAATCGATTCAGCTGATACGGTTTTGTACTACCATGTATTTCAAAACTTCAGCAGAAATTGTCATTCTCACTAATGAAGGTAATTAACGGTTAACTTATCAGATTATAGCACAGAAAATGTTTTTTCCCATACAATAGCCTTCTTAATTGGACATTCATAGAATGAACATGCTCATTTTGTGCCTAAATCATATTCTTTAATACTGTCTGATAGCAGCTGATAACTATAAAAATTTTAACAAGAAAATTAATAATGCTTCAGCAATCCTTACAAAAGACCCAATAATGCTAATTTAGATTTAGGATGAGTCACCTCATTAGTTAGTGAAATAGGACTTGCTGCCATTTTCATAATGTTGAAATTACTGTGCTGTAGGCTTTCCACAGTACCAAACAAACGTGAACAAATACCGATTAATACCAATTGACTCAAACAGAAAAACACTGGGTCCAAATTCAGTTATAGAGTTGTGGCCCACTTACACCAATGGAATTTGGTCCAAAATATTTGAACTTGCAAGAGACTTTTGGATTCAAAGTTTTAACATATCAATCTAATATTTTCAAATTTGTGTCTTTTTCATTTTTGTTGGGATTCTGTAAAGAGGGCAAAAAGGACTGGAATTTAACATTTGATTTGCTGTGTGTCTTTAAGAATGTGTATAATTATTGAAAAAATATCATTCCTCCTCCTGAAAATCTACAGCTCTTGTATAATCATTACAACTTACCTGTTTTTATTAACTTTCATTTTAGCTTAGTAAATGTTTAATAAGCGTTTGTTCTCTAAATTACTAAACATTTAATACGCAATTTATTCTATAAATTACTGTCCTCTGCTGAAAATTGTTAATTCTTTAAGTTATGTTAATAATTTGCATACAAATAGTTCTTAAGGTCAATATTCATATTATTCTCTGTATTTAATTTATAATCACAGCAAATCTGTTCCTGAAACATGCCAATCATAAAGGCAACATTCACGCTATATTTGATTTAGATCGAATATAGCAGTACAATGTAGTGATTGAGGAATGGACACAAGTGTGAGAAATAGGGATGTACAATACCATTTAATCAGTAGTTAAATGTTACGTTTAACTGGTTAACCAATTAAGTAAGATCCCATGGGCTGAAGGCAGGGCTGCTTTCTCCCGGCCCCATGGGGTTGCCAGTTAACGAGTTATCAGTAAGCATCATCTGCTAAGGGTGATTCTGACCATGTAAACAGTTAAATGGTTACCTGTTCACATCTCTACTGGGAAACCAGGAAATCTAGGGATTTAATTCTAGTTCTAGCACTAGCTGCACTCTGCATCCTTGGACAAGTCACTAAAGCCAAAGTCTTCCATTTTAATATCTTACGTATGTTCAGCACCTGAGAATAATCAGGTCACATTTCAGTTCTTAAATATGAAGTTAGGTGCCTATTGTATTGCTGAAATTTGAAAATCTTGTCTTTAGCCTCCTTGTCTGTTTCCCTATTTGTGACTGAGAATTCACATCATTAACTACCTCTCTAGACTGTTGTAAGAATTAATATTTGTAAAGCACTTTGAGGATGAAAAATATAATATAAATTGCTAAGCATAATACAATTCACTAAGATTTAAGTGAAACCCAAAACTTAATATATGGTTTCAGATTTCAAAATGTGAAATGTCTGAGGATAAGTTGTATGAATCACCAACAATTATGGTTGTGAAAAGATTTTTTTATAAATCTGATCATTTGGCAGTTGCTAAGATGTGACTGTTATTCATCACACTGATCATCACAGTTTCCCAGTTGTTGTGGGCTTCCCCACACTGTTGGTGTTTTGATTCCATTGGTTATCCTCTATTGTTGGATTGTAAACTTTTTTGGTTAGAGACCGTTTTATTGTTAAGTGTTTGTACAGAGCCTAGCACAAGGGAGCCAAATTTCTGATGGGGCCCACTAGGTGCTATCACTGAACAAACAAATAGGAATGAGACTAATTAATCATACTTTAAAAGAAAAAACCACTCCATGGTGTATAGGAGTAGACCTTTGGTGAACTGCCTGGATTATTAAGCTATTTAGGGACTCATTACTATAGTGATGAGAGAACCCTTCCTGACACATACATAGTGTCTACATTTGAAATGCTACAGCAGTAGCACTTTCTATACTGATAGAGATGTAGCCGTGTTAGTCTGGGGTAGCTGAAGCAAAATGCAGGACAATGTAGCACTTTAAAGACTAACAAGATGGTTTATTAGATGATGAGCTTTCGTGGGCCAGACCCACTTCCTCAGATCAAATAGTGGAAGAAACTTTCTATACTGACAGGATTCTCCCATCGGTGTAGGTAATCTACCTCAAAAAAGCGGTTGTTAGGTCAACAGAACACTGTCTACATGAGGACTTAAACTGACTTAAGTATGTAGCTCTAAGGGATGGATTTTTCACATCACTAAGTGACCAGCTGGGTAAATCTCTTTTTATTTTTTATTATAGGCTAGTCCTTGGCCTTCAGCTCTGGACTTCACAATACACTTGAAGTGTATATCAATGCATGTATGTTATGCCATATTGCTTCATGTGTATGAAGTTTACTTACCTGTTTTCATTTTAGTTTAGTAAACATTTAATAAGCTAATGGTATAATCAATAGCCAGGATGTGTAGATTAATATTAGCTTTAAACTATTTTTCTTTTAATAAAACTTTTCCGTGGGAACTTTTATTTCAGTTAATACATTGTACTTAATGTTTAAGTCTTGAATTTGGTTCCCCTTGCCCTTAATAGTGCACAAAGAAAAGGCATACTTGATTTTAAGTACATGCACTATACAGGATCCACATGCAGACATAAAATTCAAGTATTCAGATATAATGTTTCAACTGAGTAACTATGTTTTATTTGAGATTTAACCAGCAAATTCTATATTGTAAAAGGGACGCTAACAATGCCACTATGCTATGATATAGTAAGATCGCCGGACATAGCAAGAATGGTATTCTACAGAGTATTGTTAGGGCACTTATATTCAGGATTTTTCTACTTTCTTCAGCAACATTATAGAAGATCCCGCAGACAATTTTATAAAGTCACACCATTCAGGAAAGAGCAGATGACTGGAAAGTGGCCAACATAATGTCATTGTTTAAGATAGGATCTGGGAACACTTCAAGAAATTACAGACCATTTAGTTTTGATTTGTGTGTGTGTGTGTGTGTGTTTTGATTCCTCTGTGTGTGTGTGTGTGTGTGTCTGAGGGGAGTCTTAAAAAGCATTTTAGGAGATTAAATGGAGAACATTTAGAAAAGCACAGCTTGATGAAGGATAGCCAATGTAGCCTCAGGAATGAAAGGTCATGCTTCAATAACTTCTGGATTTCTTTGCGTAAATAAAGAACAAGGGAAACAAATGGATGCAGTAGACCTATTACTTTATATTTTCCAGAGAGTGTTTGACAAACTTTTAACCCTAAGATTAATATCTATGTATTATGTGGAATTAAGGAATAAAACAAAGCGTTATCCTAAGAGGAATAATTTGTTGTTCTGAAACAAAGATGAATAAAGCAGCATAAATCTCAGTAATAGGACTTCATATTTTAATTTTATATTTACCAAGCAATAGTGAGACCAAACTCTGAATTCCCAGATTACAGGGGATTTTGAATTTCTTATTCTGCAAAGTACTTTAGCCAATGGTGGGCAATCTACGTCCCGCAGGGTGCATGCAGCCTATCAGGATTTTATATGTGGCCCATGAGACATTTTGTTTGCCATTGTCCATATGCAGGGTTGCCAGATTCCTTTGGTTTCGTATTATGAAAGTGACACGCTCATAAAGCCAGGGGATATAAAGTGAGGTCCGTGCTGACTGCACTCAACATTGACTGTGATAGCAGTGCACTCTGTGTGCATCCAAAGTACTGCTACAGTTCAATCGGCACACCCTGCAAATTCTAGTTACGCAAGTGCAGTTAGCGAAACTATCTCAGCTCCGGAGATCATCTTGGTTATGACAATCTTGTGGCCCACTGAGATGGAAGGCCACTCATGTGGCCCACTCATTAGCCTAGGTTGCCCATTACTGACTTAAGCCCCATGTGTAACTTTTAGCATGAGTAGTTGCATTAAAATCAACGGGACTACCTGCATGCTTAAGTGCTTTGTAGGATCATGGCAAGGAGGGAACCCATAATGAGGAAAAATGTGATCAGGTTTTTAAAAATGGATGGAATTGCTTGGTGTAAGTACAGATGATGAGTTTAAATTGGCTCATCAGTTTAGAGTCATGAATGTGGGAGGGGCTGGGTGATAAAAGAAATGTTGTCTGGCAAAAGGAACAATAATGCAATAGGGTTACCAGGAGAAGGATTTCATAATCATAGGACAGTTTAACCCTTTTCCCTTCTGGGACACCTAAACCACCCAACCTCATGTCTCCATATCCTTGAGTCTTTTGTGCCTCTATCTCAAAAAAAAATTTAGATTGCTTTAAATATAACTAAAATGCAGTATGGACAAACCTTTCCAAGGTGATTAATGCTTCTCGGTGTCTGTCTTTCAAAAAATGCTAAGTGTCCAACATCTGAAAAAGAGGTCAATTTAAAAGGGTTTCAAGCAGAGGATCCAAAAAAAAGAGCCACCCCAAATTATTAAGCATTTTTGAAAATACTAGTCATAAGACACAAAAACTTTTAAAATTGGTTAAAGTTAATTCTGTCATATTATAGAAATAAAACGTGAAATCAAATCACTATACTTTTTGGATATATTAGTACTGAAAATTCTTGCACTACAAAAGCATTCATTATAGCTAATTATTGCAGCAATTTACATTGTCAATCAATTTCACACCCATAAGAATTAATAAAATATTTTAAAATGAAAGTTTAGATTGGTTAGAAAATTTGGCAGACCTACTCCTTATACCTTATCTCCTTTTCCTTTCTTTCCTAATGCTAGAAGACAGGTACATATTTTACCAGTTTAAGGTAAGGTTGACAGCATAGAGTTTTAAGTAAAGGGAAACTAGTAAGCTAAAAACAATATATAAAATGATTCATACAATCCTTTCATGTTTTAGGTTCCATGTTCTGTTATCTTTTAAATAAAATCTCTCATTTGTGTTTTGGTATATTCCAGACAACCCCGACCCCCAAAAAACCCTCAAAACCCAACCCTCAAAAGTCATCATTTTTAGGTGCTTGTCATTTGAGTATTAACCTAAATATCAGAATCTTTGGTTTAATTATGTCATGTAATTTTGCATTCCTAATGTGAGACATCAAGAAATTAGATGCAACACTAGAAGTAAACAACTGGTTAAGTAAGTGATATAAGGTAAAGTGCTTTGGCTTTCTGGAACATAGGTCCACTTTCCATAGGGACGGAAAAGTAATATAGTTTGGATTAAGGATATTAAGGAGCGGGTATCTGAATAGTTTGGATTAAGGATATTAAGGAGCAGGTATCTGACTAATTGTGTAGTTGATACAATTTGTATTCACTATATTAATTGTGTAGTTGATACAATTTGTATTCACTATACGATTAGTCAATAAAAAGAGGCACTCTGCACAGCCACAGTGCAGGTGGGTGCAAGCCAGGACTGCTCAGGAGCCGCTCTGGGACCACTGCAGCTCTTCCTCCCTTGCTCTGCCCCCGCACACTGTAGAGACTGTGTTGGTGGGAGCTGGCTTTTAAGCCAGCTCCCCCCAGCACCGGCTTTTGCTTTCCACTCCCTCTTTTAAGCCAGCTCCCCCCAGCACCAGCTTTTGCTTTCCACTCCCCTTGCTGCCTCTGATATAGAGTCAGCAAGGGAGGGGAAGCAAGTAGTTGAGTAGTGACTCACCTACCTGATAAGTCTAGTCACTTACATCCCTACTTTGGATAGCCTTCACCTCAGTAGAAGGAGGACTAATTTCCTAGGGCAGGGCTACTCAACTTTGGAAGCCCCGGGTGCCACAGCAATACTCACAACACATGCTAGGGGCTGTAACTTAAGTGTGGTTGCATATGCATGCCAATATATGCAAATATATGCCAACAGCTTCTTTTACACTGACAGGCATGAATACAAAGATTAAAGCAAAACTATATAACACACAGGCCCCATTTAAATCAGTTCTGCTGATATTAATAAAATGCAATATTTACCCAATTTACACCTATATGACAGCACTTTTAATGAGCAATGACAGTCCAGGAATTTAACTACTAATACTCATATCAACAGGAGACTATTATATTGACAACTTTTTTGTTTTGACTTCCACCTGCAGGCCACAAACAAATATGCCGCAGGCCATGGGCCATGTGTTGAGTAGCCCTGTCCTAAGGCTAAATTACTCAGGATGGGAGGATATAATTAGAACAAATGAACACTCATTTAGCACAAAATATAGATTCTGCGATTTAAATAAAGACATTAAGGACATGAGGGAAGATATTTGTTAATGGTTTATACCACAAATCTAGGAGCTTGAGTAATAAACAAGAAAAAAATAGAATTTCTCATAAGTAAATACAGTACACTTCTGATAATCCGGAACCTTTGGGACCTAGGTGGTGCCGGGTTATCGAATATGCCGGACTATCAGGAGGTACTATAAGATGGTTTTTATTATATAAAGTGTTTTTAATCATTTTATTGTAGGACATGCACTGTCCAGCATCACACAATGCCAGTGGCAGACTGACTCAGAGTCCCATCTGGTTTTGCTTTGGTTCAGCTGCTGCCGCTACTGCCTTGTGACTCTTTTTTTGCCGAAGCTCACTCACTAGGTTCTTGCCATTTTGATGCCGGACTATCGGGAGTGCCATACAATTGGATGTCGGACTAGTGGAGCTTTTCAGTATAAATTTGGCCTAGTATGCATTCCTGAAACCTGGTAAGAAGGTTTACATGATTGGAATGTTAAAACCACTGATGATACCTATTTAAGAAAGATCAAGTAAGCAAAAGGGAAGTGTCACTGTAAAAAATGATATTACCTGTTTTGCAGTCAGGAAACTCAGAAGCAAATGATCCTGAATGCTTATGGATCTGTTTTCTAACAGACAAAACACAACCTGGGGGTACTAATTGGTGTTTGCTACAAACCATGAAATCACACCAGGGTACAAGATGGCCAGCTCCTTAAACATCTAGTTAAAATACATTTTAAAAAAATTATCATCACAGGGGACTCTAATATGAGTGATATATGCCGATAGTCTTGTGCTGTCAATACTAAAACATCCTGAGAATTTCTAATAATAATAGATGACAATTTCCTAACTGAGAAAGTGTTGCATTTAACCCAAGGGAATTCTATATTACAGCTTATTTTGACAGAAAAAGAAGATCACAGAATTAATTATTGGTAGTAGCTTAGATATGAGTGGTCATAATTTAATCACAGGTGTAATGTGCAAAAAGAATAAAACCAAAACTAGCAATATCTATCATTGGTGCTTTAAAAAGGGCTAATTTTACAAAAAGCTGAAAACAGTTATGAGCCAAATCAGAGGAGATAAAAATGTGAATATTTTACTCTGTGCTTCCAAAACCACAGTCTTATAATTGAGAAAAGGCTCACTGTGTACAAACCCAACTTGGCTTAAGCCAGTGTTTCTCAAAGTATTCAGCGGACCCACTCTGAGAAAGCTGCTACCAGGCTGCTCAGGTTTGTTTACTTACTGGCTCTGCAACCACAGAGCATTTTGGCTCCCATTGGCTATGGTTCACCTTTTGCAGCCAAGGGGAGCCACAGGAAGCAGTGACCTGGGTCACAATGCTTCCCACGTCTCCGCTTGGGTGCAAATGGTAACCCACAGCCAATGGGAGCCTTGAGGCGCCATGGCTGCAGAGATGGCCAGTAAACAAACTAGGGCGTCCTGGTAGCAGCTTTCTCAGAATGGGTCCTTGAACCACTTTGAGAAACACTGCCTTAAGCTATAAAACATATATGAAATCACAGCCCTTTGAGAGGGAACAGAGCCAATGCACCTCTATCACACCAACTGACCTGCATTATTAGGCTTTCAGAGATCCCAGGAGTCAGTTAAGAAACTGAGCAAGCAAGACTGTCAGTATGTCTGTACTGTAGATGGAAGCTGCACCCTGGGTCTGAGTTTGGGTAGCTAGCTCATGCATTCACCAATGCAGCAGTGTCCACACAGCTATTTGTAATGCACTGGCACAAGTCCTTCCAGCACAAGCCTGTCTGACTGAGCTGGGAGGCTTATCTCCTAAGTGCCCTGGGAGGGGATGCAATGAGAACCTGAGAAACTGTATGAAAAGAGGCCTCCTGAGATAAAAGCCCTGGGTGGCAGCTAGGGTTGGCAGGTGTCCGGTTTTGACCCAGACAGACCGGTATTTTCATCTCCTGTCCAGTAAAAAAACCAGAAAATAACAGACACCTAAAATGTCCGGTATTTTCTGATTTTTTTTTCCCTGCCAGGAGGCGAAAATACCAGACACCTGGCAACCCTACAACACACTCAGAAACCGGGCCCGGGCCCTGCCCAGATCCCCCTCCACCTAACTTACTTGGTTCCGCAGGGGAGCTCTCTTGTGGCACAGAGTAAGAAAACAAGATGGTTGCCAGCAAAAAAAAAAGCCCCAAAGGTCTTAAAGGGACTATGCTGGATTTTTTTGGCTTGTGGAGCAGGCTTGTGACAAGCTAAATATATAGGGAAGGATTGGAATCACACTTCATCCACAAATTCAATTCACATGCTAATGGACTCAATCGAGATATTGGCTGGCTAGGACACTACCTATTTCATAACCACTGAAGGTGCTAACAGCTCTGTGGGCGGTATCCTTCCTGTCTTAGCATCTGTCTATTTACTTTCATCTGCTTAGGTTTACGTACGCATTTTCCAGATACTTAATGATGCTCTGTCTTACACACCCCTTCCTTTTTCCTTTTTCCTTTTTTTCTTTCTCTCCTCCTTCTCCTATTTATTTCGAGTTTTCATATTCCCTACTCATAACTCTGGTCATCTGAAGAAGCGGGCTGTGCCCACAAAAGCTCATGATACCATCTACATGTTTTGTTAGTCTATAAAGGGCTACCAGACCATTTCTTGTTTTTTTCTGTCACTGGTATAACCAATATTATCCAAATAAGTCATCATATTTGGTTTGTGACATCTCTCTGCGTTTAAAAATATATATTATTGTTATAAATCCACTTTGAAGAAGACTTTGAAACAGACTTTATGTATTGATTTTTCCCTTTTGGTTTTTGAAAGCTCAGCATGTCTGAGCATGAGCAGGGACCTGTCACAGGATACTTAACTCACTGCTATCATGGCACTTCCTTCTAGCTATTTTGGGGATTAGCTCCATGAGGTCAATACACCTTCCCACAGTTACATTATCTCTCCACCTCTCTTGTAGTTTGCAGCCCTTCCTCACTCCACGAGCTGCTGCTGAATCTTCATGACTCAACCCTCCAGCCAGGTCACTATACACATTTTCCCCTTCCTGGATATCAAAGACTTCACCAATCATAAACAGACTTTCTGATAACTGCTTTGTCATCTTTTCCTCAGTCCTAGGCAGTCTTCCTAGGACACCCACATTGTGCCATATCCTCAGTGGCTGGCAAGGAAACCCAGGTCTAACCCTTTATTCTAGGTTGCAGCTCAGGGACCCTCTACTCAACAGGCAAAGTCTGGTCCCTCCTAGACTTTAATGCCTTTCCTTAAGCCTGTTCCTTACCATCTGGCACTCCCCTCACTCTAGATTTGCCAGCAGGCCAACAAGTAACTGTGGGCTACCAAACTCTGCATAGAGTTGCCAACTTTCTAATTACACAGACGGAAACACCCTTTCCCTGCCCCTTCCCTCAAACCCAACCCTTCTCCGAGTCCCTGCCTCCCTTACTACATCCCCCTCCCTTCATTGCTTGCTCTCCCTCACCTTCACTCCCTTTCACTGGCCTGGGGCAGGAGGTTGGAATGCAGCAGGGGATGCAAGCTCTGGGCTGGAGCTGAGGGGTTTGGAGTGTGGGAAGGGGCTCCCAAGCTGAGCCTAAGGTGGGGGAGGGGGGGTTGGGTGCAGTATGGAGTACATGTTTTGGTAGAGAGTTTTGTGCAACATGGGGCTCTAGGCTGAGGCAGAGAGTTTGGATGCAGGAGCAGATGCAGGGGGTGGGCTCTGGGAAGGAGTTAGGGTGCAGGAGGAGGCTCAGAGTTGGGGACTAGGGTGCAGGAGATTGAGATGCAGGCTCTAGGGGGAAGCTCACAACTGGGGCAAGGGTTGGGATATGGGAGCGAGTTTGGGGTGCAGCGTTCAGCATTTACCACAGGTGGCTCCCAGTTGGCAGCACAGCGGGTCTAAAGCAGGCTCCCTACCTGCACTGATCCCAGAAGAAGCTGGCATATTCCTGCAGCCCGGGGCAGGGGAGGAGGGGACAATCCTGCAGGCACAATCTCCATAGTCCCATAGGCCACAGTGTCCAGAGGATCAAATGCTAGTGGCATTTGCCATTCAAGAGCTTCACAGATGAGTATGTTCATGGTCCCATTCTGGTGAACCAAGATTAAAATCATCATCATAATGCTTTGCTGCTCAATGGGATCCATGATGGGGTCTGCACAGATAACCAAGGAAAAAAGGGTGTGAAAAGACTGGTTGCTGTTGGTCTTGAGTGGGGGGGAAGGGGAGAGGGAGGAAATGAGTTGATTATGGGACACTGATGACATGTACCCACAATTACCCGCTGCACAGTTTTGGTCCCAGCATGCACTGGGAACATAACCAGAATGCAAAGGGGAACAGGCACTGTGGGATAGCTATCCACAGTGCATCACTCTCAAAGTCAATGGTAGCCACCCTACTGGGGACATGCCACTTCGAACTACGTAAAATTCATGTGCACAGTGGGGATATGCACCATCGACTTTATAAAATCAGGTGCTACAACGTTGACCTTAATACATTTAACTTTATCTCATAGTGTAGAGATGGCCTTAGCCACTTGATTCCACTCAGCTTTGCCTCTTGGGCTAATTAACCTCCTTTTCAATCTGCATTAACTTTTTCACACCCCTTCACAGGACCCTTTACCTTTTGTTGTGAAAAATGAAGGGCCAATCTGTCCCTGGCCCTTTAAGAGGTGTATGGCTGGAGGGAGACACAAGGAACCTTGCTCCTTGCAAAACTGATGCAATTTGTGGAGGGAGCAAGAAGGGGCAAGAGGGAGGCCTGGGTGTGAAAATACCAAGGAGCAGATGAACACCAAGGAGCAAATAAATAAGCAGTAGATAAATGCTGGTGTAGATTTAAAATTCATTTTCAAGGAATATGCATTAACTGAGTTTATTATACTCATGGTAGTTTTTTTAATACAGTAGGTTACGTTTATCATTGTACTAATGAGACAAAACAAGCCTGAGCCTATGCATTTTAAACTCTATTCAGTAGATGAAGATTATTGTGGGTTTGGTGGGCAAATACAATTTCTTTATCAATGAAATCTGATTTTTAAATGCCTCTCTATGTTGACTACAGTATTTATGCACCTGAACCAGCATTTGAGTAGGAAATATAAAAATGCTTGTATTCTAGCACTGAATGACCTTGAAAACCATGAAACAAATCAGAAAATATATTCTACCTTTATTATAAATCCATTCTCCAGGGTATTATGAAAATTGGTTTTAAGATCATAATAATTTAACAATCCTTCACTCTCTCAAGTAATCTGGCCTTTGATGACTTCCTGACTCTCATATGATCAGTGCTAGCAAATTTCAGCATGCATTTCTAATACACAAACTCTCTATTTTCATCTTTGAGATATGTTTAAACATAAGGTGATTTAATAAAACACAAAATGTGTCCATTTCATGGTGTTACGTGATAGAGATAAAATATAATGAAAATGTGTACGTACACCAACTTATGTATTATATTGCCTTCACTGATCTGAAAATCCTGCTTTTTAAAAAAAATTAAACTACACTACTGAACCTGTATGGAGACAATATCATTGGCATGGAGCAGTAACATGCCTTAGTCCCTATTCAGAAGGTACAGGATCTAGAAATAAATTCGCAGTTAGTGGGCCAGCTCCTCTTATGGCAGATAAGGCTTCTAACCCTCCAGGATTGTCTTGGAATCTCCAGGAGGTCAAGATTCATTTCTAATTACAGATTATATAATGTGATGAAACCTCCAGGAATGTGTTCTATCAAAATTGGCAACCCTAATGGCAGAAGAGCCAGTGGAGCTATACTATGAACACTACTACAGAGTAAGTCTTGAGGGGTATAGTAGTCGTGATTCTCTATGGGCTGGATGCTCTCTATTGCTGGCCTGACCCATGACCTCCCACAGGGCTGCAATCCTTAGGGTGAAAAATACTGATCTACTTGCGTTGAGTACCCCCAGAAGATCTCTGCGTACCTTCAGGGGTTCACATACCCCTGGCTAAGAACCACTGACATACAGCATTTAATTCTGCTAGGGCATGTCTTCACTTGCCGCACCGGAGATCAATGTTCGGACGTTCAATTTAGTGGGTCTAGTATAGACCCATATATCAAATGCTAAGGACAGCTCTGGCCAGTGCCTATACTATTTGCAGTTATGAGACATAAGGGAAGCCGAGGAGAGCAAATGCGTCTCCCCGCGCCTCCCACTGTGGGGGTGCTGCCAACCTCGGCTTAAGGTAAGCCGACTCCAACCAGCTATGTATTCTATGTAGCTGGAGCTGTGTATCTTGAGCCGACCTTCCAGGTCTAGTGTAGACTAGGACTTAGAAATTTTCATTGTTGACAATGAAGTACTTTGGTCTGTAAAGTTGGGGAGGGATAAAACGATGCACTGTCACCCACAGTAACACAAGGACTCCTCCAAGAGGCATCCATCACAGTCCTACCTTCCCTCTCCCCATTTTCCACCTGAATTTTTCCCCATACTCAGGCCCAGCCTAAGGACAAGATGAGCAAGGCGGCTGGATTTGGCCCCATGTCTTCAGGACTCCACGCTGCCCGGTGCCCACCCACATGGAAACTTGCTCGCTGCACTGGCTGGGAGTTGCCTGGCTGTGCAGTGCAGCGAACCACAGCATGCCACCTTGGGCAACGCAAACTCTTTGGCCAGGCCTGCCCAAACTACTCCAACTTGGTCTCGTTTGGTTCTCCAAGATTCCATTTCTCTGTGAACTGCTCCCTGTACCAACCACGCAAGGTTCCTTCCCCCTCCCATCTCCCCCTCCTCAACTTCCCTCCAAACATCAGCACCCAGACCCCAAGTTCCCAGCTTCTCTGTCACTTCCCAAAGTCCCTTCCCTCCTGAGAAGCTTATTCCCCACACAACTAGGGTTGCCAGATACTTTACAAAAAATACCGAACATGCTGGGAAAAAAATGTGTTGAGCAAAAAAAACCGGGGGACCAAAAAAAAGAGTCACTGTGCCTTTAAATCCCCCCATTTCCCCCACCAGCTGTGGCAGGGGAAGAATGTCCCAAGCAGCCTTCCGTCCGAGAAAAACAGAAAATACCAGACATTTTACATGTCCTGTATTTTCTGGGGTTTTTTTACCAGACAGAGGCGCAAA